AACTGTGAAATCTGTTCTATGTTATTTTTGAATACAAAGCAAGGCACCCTATTTATAGTTTTAGGTTTACAAAAGCTTAAAACATAAAAGACCCAAAATATTCAAATCAAATCTAATCATATCAAATCAAATCTGTTTACACTATGAATTATATTTAACAATAATTCTCCCTATAGAAGTAGTTATTATCCATGTACATGTTAAGTTGTGATATGATAAATACACATAATGCCGAATCGTTATTTACATCTAGCTATAATGGGCTATTGATTATCTGTTGATTTATTTTAATAAATTCGAACACTCCCCCTTAAAATGTCAGAACATGTCACTCATTACAAGCTTGCTCACCATGTCATCGAATTGTCTCTTTGAAAGAATATTTTTGAGGATATTTTCTACTTGACTTGTGGTTGGTACATATGACATATATATCTCACAAGTATCATTTTTTCTTTAATGAAATGCTCGTCTACTTCAACATGTTTTGTTCTATTGTGTAGGACATGATTATGGGCAATAAAAATAATTGTCTTATTATCACAATGGACTTTGGTTGATTTTGAGCTAGAGATGTTCAATTCATTCATAAAATTTTAGTCCATAATATTTCACAAAAACCATGGTCACGAAGTGCAATTCAGCCTGTGCGCTGCTTTTGGCTACAACATTTTATTTTCTGCTTCTCCATGTAACTTAGTTTTATCCTACAAGTTATAATACCCTGAAGTTAACCTTCAATCATTTATATTTTCAGTCGAGTCAACATTTGTGTAAGCTTCGACCTGTATATGCCCTCTGACTTTAAACATCAACCCTTTTTTTTTCCCGAGTACCTTTCAAATATCTGAATATTTTGAAAACAAATTCAAAGTGAGCAGGCATTAGTGCATGCATAAACTAACTTATCACACTCATTACTACAAAATAGACATTTCGTAACATCAATTTTACAACGGTCTGTTAACTGCGGTAATAGTTCTTTTTTGGGTGCTTTTTTTTTGTATTTACTAAAGGATATTACACAACGGTCATAGGTACCAACCATAGTGAAATGTACCTGGAGTGAAATGGTTTGAATCCCAACACCAACAATTTTTCATTTATCATGACATAATAGTATTGACCTTGTATATCACCACGATTTTTATAATCAACTGTGGTGTAAGTTTCAATCGTTTCATCACGGTTCGTATTGTCAACTGTGGTGAAAAGTGTTACTTATTTATATATAAGCGAGATTATCTCTCGATTCAGTACATTACAATCGTCTCTCTCAAAACAAAACCATAACATTTCTTTCACTCGTCCCTCTCAAAATAAAACCTATCATCTCTATCAATCATTTCTCTCATATGGAAACCCCAAATTTATGCAGCCAACTTGTCTTCTTCGATGAATACCTTTGTTGCATCAAATCTTAGCAAATGACTACTTTACAGGTTCGTTGTCACTATTATTTATGTTTTAAAATATGTCTATATATTATTGTTATGTTTCAATAGCTTGTTTCATAATGTTTAAACTTTCAGCTTGTTTTGACATGTAGGTAGGGATGCTTTTTTCAATAGCGAGGACAAAGCTAAAGTGAGCGTTGCAAACTTGTGCGAAAGACCCAGAATGACATCCATTCAAAATAAACACAAGTTTGCAGCTCTAACTCCAGATTCATCCTTCTGTCATTATCGACACCATTATGGGGCATGTACGTTCTGAAACATTCCATGACTTGATATGTTTGTTGTATCGTGTATGTTGTTGATGAATGTTTTTTAAGAATGTTGTTGTTAATATTTGTTTAAAATATGAGTTTATATATCTTACGTGGTTTGAGTATTTTTCCAATCTTTTACCGAATATATGACTTTTCAGATTTCATTAAAAAATTATAATATGATAGATAAAGTTATATTAGAAAACAAGTACATGTTCAAATCTTAACAATAATTCTTCATTCTGTTATCTACATGTTGTTCTTTAACTGTTAGAATTTTATTTAATGATTGTAGTTCTTCAACTGCCCCTCTCTCTACCTTTAATTTTGTTTGAAAGTAAATAATATTTTGCAAAAGGAATTAGAGGTGAAGAAAGGGGCGATTGAAGAACTAAGATCATTAAACAAAGTTCTAACTATTAAAGAGCAAAATGCAGATAAGGAGTTGAAGAACTCTTGTCAAACATTGAACGTGAACTTGTTCTTCTAATATTACTTAATTTTTCATGTTATAATGTTCTAGATCGGATTGAAAGGTTATATGTTTAGTGAGCATTGGTTAAATAAGCATTCCACATAGCTTATAATCACGGTCCCACGATCGTGGTAGAAAACATCATACATACAACCACACCTTATCTCACAGCGGTTGATTTAGCGTAATGGTATCCATTTTTCAACCGTTGTGATATGTATTTTCTATAGTAGTGACTAATTGCAAACTCTATGTCAGACCTTATATGTGACAAATAAATTAGTCTACTAGTTAATTATTGGTAGTATTCTCTATCTACCACTTCATCTTTAGATGTTGCATTTAGATTTACTGGTGTTTCTATTGTCTTACATCCCATTGTCCATATTTTTGTAAGTAAATTAAATATATATTTGAGATGGTTGAGGAAGATTCTTTCTTTAAACTCTACAAACTTCATTACTATGAAATATTTCAATCTTTTAAGATCTTTGATGTCAAATTCAACCTCAGTCTTTTTTTCTAGATCAGTATTCTTAGTAACATCATACCCTGTCATGATAATGTCGTCAACATATACTATTAAATAACAATCTTACATTCATGTGAGTGTTTGAAGAACAAAGTGTGATCTGCTTAACTTTGAGCGAAACCACATTTCTTAACAACACCTCCACATCTTTCAAACTATGCCCTTTGTGACTTTTTTTAAAATTCATATAAGAATTTTTTCATTCTGCAAACTATGTTTCTTGACAAGTCATGTTTTAACCGTCTCTATTTGTTTTATTCTATCATTTTATTTAGGATTATGCTTCTTTTTGTTTTAGTTTTACTCTCATTTTCTTGTTTTCATTATGTTTCAAGAGTTACAAGAGGATTACAAGATCAATGACACATAATTGAAAGAAAAGGTAAATCAGATTGATGCTTGAACGTCTCAAGAAGTCTGAGCAAGAAAGAAGATATTTCAACATTAACTAAAGGCATTATGGCCTGCCCGTAATGGGCATTACGACTTGCCCGAAATGGACATTATGGTCGTAATGGCCCCAAGAATATTGGCATTCTAATATTGAAAATTTGGCACAAACATTGGCAATTATGGTCGGTCCGTAAACCGTAATGGACATTATGATCGTAATGACCCCAAGAATATTAGCGTTCTAATATTGGCACAAACATTGACAATTATGGTCAGTTCGTAATAGGGTGCTTCTTGAGATTTCTTTTATGTTGTTACATTTATTTTTTGTTTTTTTTGCATTTCGTCTGTTACTCCGTCTAATTGAGAATTATTATTCGTTATAAAGGGCTTGTGTAAACATCGGTTGAACTCTTCCTTATACTCTATTACATTCTGCACACTTTAAATTTCCTAGCATGTTCTATTGTTTTTTTGTAATTGGAAGAACAAGTAAGCATTGTTGTATTTTATTTTTCTTGGTTAATTTAGATACTTTATGCATATCCTTATATTCATGATTATGCTTATGTTTTTTAAAACCATAAGCAAGTAATTTCATCGTAGAGATTGTAATTTAGGATTGTGATGATTGTCTAAATGATAGACCTCATTCAAACTATTTGTTTCAATTCTATTATGAGAAATTATATGATTGTTTTGACCATTTAGGGTGACAAATTTGAATTCTATTATGAGAAATTATATGATTGTTTTGACCATTTAGAGTTTGTCTTGTATATTTCTACAAAAGTAGAGATATCCTTAGATATTAGTCAATACTCAATAAACTAAAAGGTGAGAATTGGTATCCGAGTTAAAAAGATCAGACGGCTAAATTGAAACATGAATCTTTCTTTGATTTAACCAAAAAAAACTCTATTTTTAAGAATAAATTTTCTTAAAAGGGTCTTGAACAGAAAACTCTATTTTTAAAGATAAATTTTTTTTAAAAGAATCTTGAACGAATGAATTAACTCTATAAAATTAGGTGATTCGTCGGTTCAAGACACAATCATATATACACACAATCATATATACTGAAAGGAGATATGAGATATGGTTATATTTACCTAACTAATCCATAAGCACATAATGAGAATCCTATGGTCATACTTTAGAAAAGTCTAAATCAATCAAAATATTTTCAAATAAAATTATCATCACAAAAATTTGTAATCCAAATAGTCCTCAGTGGAACAATCATTTTTACTACATTCATATAATTGTATGCTTGCGGCCTGTCATCTTTTCCAAAATAGGAGGTAAACTTATTTTGTCATGTAATTTTTTTATTTTTAACGTCAAATTGATGTAGTGGCATGTTGAAATTCGTATATCAACAAGAATATTTAAAAAAAAAATACCAAAAAGAACTAACAGGAGTTGAGCCTAGCAGATGATGCTAAACTCTCGTAAGGTAATAAATCAGAGAATCACTGCTACTCGAGTGAACTTGTGGGGAAAAAAAAACTACCAGAAAAAAAAATGCCATAACTTGATCATTAAATGATTGTTATAGCATAGTCTTAAGAAACATTATTGATGCTCTCAGTCCTTTGTAATTTATTAGTGATTCAGATCCCTACTTTTGCATTGCGTAAAATAAACTTACAGCTACATATGCTCAACACTTATTGAAACTGATATATACAAAATAATGTGCTGTACAAAATATGACAATATTAAAACAACACTTTAACAAGATTAAAAATTACACTAACATGCTTAAAGAAGGGAAGGAATCAGAGCTACCTTTCAAAACAAATGAGGCCTAAGTTTAGACATAATTTCAAATTCTAAAGGAGCCCAGCGGAACATGTCTGAATACCAAAAATCATGCAACTTTATAGCTGCCACCATTTACGATTTTCCATTCGTTTAGCAAGTTCACTTGCCATGGAAGCAAAGTCTTGTGCCCCATTCTGCAACTCTTCAGTACGTTCGTTGAGCAACTAGTAAACATGACGAGAAGAGATGGTTAGATCGAAACCTAGTAAACAAAATTTGAATAAAACTACTTTGATTTCACAAAGAGGTTAACCGATCAATTTTCTGACTGAGACCTGGTTATTTAGAATAATATGTTTTTCTCGTTAAAAAAAGATGTAACTACGAACGTAAGAGAACTTTTAAAGTGGAATTTTTTTATTAGGAATGGTTATAACTCATGCAGCTTGATAAGTCAATGATTTATGGACTTCAGTTGGATAATTAAGATGAAATTGAATGCATATATGAAAAATAAAACTTCTTAAATATGGAGATTTGTCTTTTGGTGATTTAGGTTATCATATTCATTGAAAAGTAGGAGATGGAGCTAGATATTGTGTAAGGATAAGATTGGATAATGAAGAATGGAATGCAATAATAATCTTACCTGGAGTTTTTCTTGCCGCTCTACAAGCTTGTCCCTTGCAAGGGCAGCTGCTGTAGCGGCATCCTGAAACAATTGACTAGGTCAACAGTGTGTCAGCTATAATGGGTAAACTAAATAATTTTCAATTCTAAGATTTACCCCAGTCTTTCTGTATTTTGCCTTAATTTCTTCTGTTGTTCTAGCTTTTGGTTTTGAGTCGGTGGTTGATTCCTCAAGTAACTTTTGTCTGTCAGTTTCTTTTGCTTTTTCTGCAAGGCAATCATTCATTCATTGCTTAAAAAATAAATATTTTTTAGAGAAATATAATAAAATAAAGACATACCTTTCTTGTCAACATGGATTTTCTGATGAGATAAAAAGGCCATAGGTTCATCAATATGAATTTCATCTGCGAGAGAATGAAAGTACTTCAAATAATATAAACAATAGTCAGGTAGTAGAAGATGTTAGGTATAGCTGGTAGTAGATGTTTAGGACAAACCTATGTCAAGCTCAAAATCATCCAACCTATCTTCGGTACCTGAAGAAGGCTTTAAAAATGGAGGACTGGAGAAACATCGTTCCAAATTTTCCAAATAATTATTATGAACTGCTTGATCTGTATCGTGATCGGTTTTCTTTGCTTTGAAATTCTTGGCTATATTATGGAAGATAGCATGTACTCCCTATGGTAACATAAGTTGAATCACATATTCAGAAAAAATTAATGAGAGAAACAGACGCGCAACAAGCCTGAACAAACTGGACCTGTTTTTCATTTTGGGTTGGAGATATGCTCTCAATAACATCTACTGCGGCTGCAAGAACTTCATCATGAAGAGAAGGAAAAGACTCTGGACTCCTACAATATTTTGAAAGTTCCTGTTAGAAATCAAAACTCTAATAGTTAATGAGATTACATATAATTTTATCACAGATTTCGGTAGAGAAGCTGTCAGGTTCAGGTTCAGGGACCACCTGTGGGTTGTCCGGGCCTCTCTGGGAGCTCTTAAATTTGATTTAGTTGTTTTATGTCATAAAAGTTGTGTTATGCCAATGTAATCTATCCAATATGTTAAGAGTCCCACTTCGGATAAAAGTTGTGTTATGCCAATGTAATCTATCCAATATGTTAAGAGTCCCACTTCGAACAATATATGACATGAACATGTGATTATAAGTGGGAGTAATCCTCACTCTTCCAACCGATTTTGTAGGTTTGAGTTTGTGAATAAGAATTAGTTTGTTCCTAAAATAAGGGTTTGTTTCTAGAATAAGGGAAATAAATCAGAAATTGATTTGTTCTCATTAAATGTAATTATTTAGTGTAATTACCTATATAACCCTGTAACGGCTGATTTAATATGTTTATACGTTTCCTTGAATCAATAAGTATCTCTTGAAAAAGAGAAATTTTGATAATAGGTTTCTCTTGAAAAAGAGAAATTTTGATAATAGGTTTCTCTTGAAAAAGAGAAATTTTGATAATACATTTCTCTTGGAAAAGAGAAATTTTGATGAGTATTTAATGTGATTCTCTTGAAAAAGAGAAATTTTGATTAGTATTTAATGAATTCCTATTTTTAAAAATTAATAATAAATCAGTATTTAATAAAACCCGACGAGATCCAAGCCCATTTTAGAAAATTAGGGTTTTTTTCTAAACAAAACCCCTTAATACAGAAGCGCCGTCTTGCAGGATGGATAACGAGTCACAATTTCAACTCGGACGGGTTTACTGAGTTTCACCATGCGAGTTTACCTCTGACTCAGCACGCTGGCATGCTTAGCGAGTCAACTCGCGATTCTGCATACACTCGGACGAGTTAGCGGATCAACTCGCGATTCTGCATTTTAATTTTGTTTGTTAGCAAGACGGTGAATTGTTATATTACAATAATAATTATTATAATAATAATAATAATTATTATTATTATTATTATTATTATAATAATCTATTAATTAGTAAGGTTGAATCTTGTTGCATAATAATTTAGATGGCTTTCGAAAAAGAACGAGATACTTTCTGTGTTCGTTTTACTGGCAAGAATTATTCTGCGTGGGAATTTCAATTCAAGATGTATGTTAGAGGAAAGGGATTATGGAGTCACTTAGATGATGTTTCTAAGGCTCCGATGGAGAAAACTGCTTTAGATGCATGAGAAACTAAAGATGCTCAAATCATCACTTGGATATTCAACAGTATTAATCCTCAGATGATAAATAATTTGAGCTCTTTTTCAACAACTCAAGAAATGTGGAATTATCTGAAACGCATTTACAACCAGGACAATTCAGCAAAACGTTTTCAGTTGGAGCTAAACATAGCCAACTACAAACAAGGTGATTTGTCTATTCAAGAATATTATTCTGGTTTTTTGAATCTCTGGACAGAACACTCTACTACTATCCATGCTAATGTTCCTGTTAAGAGTCCCACATCGGACAATATATGGCATGAACATGTGTTTATAAGTGGGAGCAATCCTCACTCTACCAACCGGTTTTGTAGGGTTGAGTTAGGCCCAACCACATTTCTTAACATGGTATCAGAGCCTGGTTTAAGATCCGGTGGGCCACCTTCTATGGTTTCCGCTATCGGGCCACCCACCATTTATTTCCACGCTTCAGTTGTCCAGTCCTGAGCGTGAGGGGGTGTGTTAAGAGTCCCACATCGGACAATATATGGCATGAACATGTGTTTATAAGTGGGAGCAATCCTCACTCTACCAACCGGTTTTGTAGGGTTGAGTTAGGCCCAACCACATTTCTTAACAGTTCCCAAAACCTCTCTCCCGACTGTTCAAGAGGTCTACAACACAAGTAGACAAGATCAATTTCTCATGAAACTTCGTCCAGAATTTGAGGTTGTCAGAGGTGCTTTGCTCAATAGAAATCATGTTCCTTCTTTGGAAACTTGTGTTGGTGAACTTCTAAGGGAGGAACAACGTCTACTTACTCGAGGAACCATGTCTCATGATGTTGTCAGTTTCGAACCTGTGGCAATTGCATATGCTGCTCAAAGTAGAGGAACGAGTCGTGATATGCGACAAGTCCAATGTTTTTCTTGCAAACGATTTAGACATTTTGCTCGCAGCTGTAGTAAGAAGTGTTGCAACTATTGTAAACAACAGGGTCATATCATCTATGACTGTCTCACACGTCCTCCCCGAGCAGCACAACGTCCAGCTCAGGCATTCCATGCCACTACCAACTCTGCAGTTGGTTCTCTCTCTGCTGATGCATCTAATGGTGGTGCTCTACAACCTGAAATGATTCAACAAATGATACTTTCTACTCTTTCTGCCTTGGGAATTTCGGGTAAGCCTTCTAATGTTTCTCAACCATGGTTTCTTGATTCTGGTGCATCGAATCACATGACGGGTTCCTCTAAATACTTGCACAATTTACATTCTTATAATGGTAATCAGCAAATTCAAATTGTTGATGGTAATAAACTCTATCACTGATGTTGGTGACATAAACTCTAACTTTCGTGACGTGCTTGTATCACCCGGACTTGCTTCCAACTTATTGTCTGTTGGCCAATTGGTGGATAACAATTGTAATGTAAATTTTTCTCGTGTTGGTTGTGTTGTGCAGGAGCAGGTGTTGGGGATGTCATGAAATTTGGCTTGATGCTTTTCTCATTGCCTTTCATACTATATATAATAGTGTCGGTAATTACAACTCATAATAACTAATTACAGCTGATAATAACTAATTACAATTCATAATGACTAATTTCCTATTCTATGAATGTAAATTATTCACAATAACTGCAAATATTATTTCCTAATTAACATCCCCCCTCAAATTGATGCGGCTGGTCAAGGAGCATCAATTTGCTAACAAGAAACTGATGTCTTGGGCGTGGAACAGCCTTGGTAAGAATATCTGCAACCTGCAACTGCGTACTGACGTGAGGAAGTGATATTATTTGATCATCGTAGGCGTCACGTATTGAATGACAATCAACTTCGATATGTTTGGTGCGTTCATGAAAAACAGGATTTGCAACAATTTGGATGACACTTGTATTGTCAGCATAAAGAGAAGTTGACTCTGTTTGGGGAAATCCAAGTTCAGCCAAAAGACCACGAAGCCAAAGTATTTCTGAACACGCAACAGACATGGCACGATACTCTGATTCAGTAGAAGATTTAGAAACTCTTGCTTGCTTCTTACTTTTCCAAGAGATCAATGAAGAACCAAGAAACATACACCAACCAGTAACAGATCGACGAGTATCAGGACACCCTGCCCAATCAGCATCACTATAAGCGCTCAACTGAAGAGAAGTTCCAACGGAAAAGAATAATCCGCGGTGAGAGGTTCCTTTTAAGTAGCGAATTATACGACGAACTGCAGCCAAGTGAAGATGGCGAGGAGAATGCATGAATTGACTTACTTGTTGAACAACAAAAGATATGTCAGGGCGAGTAATAGTCAAGTAGTTGAGGCTACCCACAAGTTGTCGATACAATAAGGGATCAGGCAACAGATCCCCATCATCACGATGATATTTAACATTAACCTCAAGAGGAGTATCTACTGGATTAGCCGATTCAAGACCGGCCATAGAAATCAAATCTGTAGCATACTTGTGTTGATGGAGAAAGATGCCCTTGAATGTAGAATGAACCTCAAGACCAAGAAAATAATGTAGATTACCCAGATCTTTCATATGAAATAAGGCCTGTAACTGTTGTTTAAGTCGCTGAATGGAAGCATGATCCGAACCAGTAATAACCATATCATCAACATACAAAAGAAGCAGAACAATACCCGCAAATGTGCTATGAATAAATAAAGATGAATCATACTGACTCTGAGTAAAGGAGAATCCAAGTATAGTGGAGCGGAATTTCTCGTATCATGCTCGAGGTGCCTGTTTCAAACCATATAAGGAGCGTTTGAGCTTACACACGCCTTTAGATGAAGAGAATAAGCCTTGAGGTGGAGTCATATAAATATCTTCTGTCAGGTCACCATGAAGAAAAGCATTCTTCACATCCATTTGATGAAGAGTCCACCCATTAGAAGCAGCTATAGACATGATCGTGCGGACAGTTGTCATTTTGGCAACCGGTGCAAATGTCTCATCATAATCAATTCCATATTCCTGCTTGTTTCCTAACGCAACCAAACGAGCCTTGTAACGGTTGAGGGACCCATCAGAATTCAGTTTCACAGAATACACCCATTTGCAACCTATAGGTTTTACATTTGGAGGACAAGTGACGATATCCCATGTGAAATTCTCTTGAAGAGCTTGGAGCTCTTCAGTCATTGCTTTTATCCATCGCACATCTTTAACAGCCTGTGAGTAACAAATAGGAATAGATATGCTAGAGAGTGTGGCAGTCAGAGAAGTATGTGAGGAATCATACCTGTCTGGTGAATATCTATCTGGTGCGCGGGATATTCGACCAGAACGTCGTGGTTCAACCGGTACAGGATCAGGTGGCAGTTCAGCATCGGGAAGGGGTGTGGGAACCTGTTGTCTGTGTTTTCTGACATATACATGACCTGGTTTATAACGTTCTATAGCTTGAGACATAATAAAAAACTTAGGAAGAGTAACAATATCATTAATGGCAGGAGAACCACGGGGAAACATAAACTGATTACCAAAAAATGTCACATTTCTAGAAATGCGAAAACGATGGTTAGAGACATCATAACACACAAATCCCTTATGAGAGTTACTATATCCCATAAATGCACATTGAATGGATTGTGCTCCAAGCTTATGCCTTTCAAAAGGAGGTAAGTGAACAAAACACATACACCCAAAAGTATGTAAAGCACTATAATCAGGATGAATTTTAAATAGACGGAAGAAAGAAGAATCAAGAT